GTGGGATCTCCTAGTAATTCATTATTATAAAAAATAATAATTTTCGCGGCGAGGATTGTGGATTACGTATACCTATTTGGCTGATTCATTTTTTTGACGCCTATTCGACTTTTTTGGTTTGTATTCGAAAATAATATTTTAGAAACAGCTGCATGCCCCCCTTGCAACAGTCTCGCGCCACTCTAGGGGGACGCGACCCACAGGTTGAAAACCACTGCTCTAGGCCATGCCAGTCGGTGCTCGAATACATTGCAATTTCTATTTATATATTCCTCTCGAAGCTGAGCACAGTTTTAGTGTTGTGTGCTTGAAAAAGTGCTTCCTGTTCTTTCAGGGCTTAATATCACTATGACTAAAGCTCTTTCATGAACATGTAGATTTGGGGTTTGTAAACGAATTTCTTTAAAAGTGTCTTATAATTGAAAGGGCTTCATGTTCGTTTAAGCTAGTTAAGGCTTCGAATTCAATTGAATTTCGAAGTTATGTACAAGTAGGAAGCCCTTGAATTTTAAAATGTAGTTGGGTTTTCAAGAACCAAAGCAGTTTAAATAAGGATTTTCGGCATAGAGCTTGGGTCACATTTGATGAGTGCTTTGCCCAATTCTGATTACTTTATTCCTTTATATATCTACTGAAATATTCATTTCGGTGACCACAGCTTTCATAGGTACCTACGTCAATAAATTGGAATCAGCATACGGTTAAACTACATATTCACATCGTGTTGTTTAAATAAATAAATAAATTAATGATTAAAACAGCTTGTAAAACCTGGTTTATGATACATCTTATTACTGTTACATCTCAATTTCCAATTAACGTTCCTTACTACCTAGAACATACAATTCATTATCCACATTCACTAGAAGTACAGTTGAATGTAATTTTGTTCAAGATTTTTTCACAACATTAGATTAGATATAGTCATTAGGGGATGAGTCTCTAGTTTATAACAGAAAATTGAGCTCCACCAAAAGCCCTTTTATTGCAACGGAATAATATACATTCTACGTCCATCCAGAGACCAGAAGGTCCAAACCAGAGATATGCTGGTTATTCGATTTATATTGGTATCCGGTGGATCCGGCACTATTTTTAGGATCCGGCCAGGTACCGGATAATGATCCAGAGTAATTCTACCAGATAAAAAGAACAACGCTTTTTGAACGGACTTAATGTGCTTTGGAATGTTGTGTTGGTGGGGGTGGTAGGTATTTAATGGAAAGCCCATAGGAAGGAAGACATGAACCATTAACTGTAGTATTGGTTTTACCGGGTACATGGTTATTTGATACCCGACAAAATCACTATTCGGTCCACTTTTGTAATTGGATGAGTACATTAGCTCCAACATATATCCAACTTTGCAAATAAATTTATGATAAAAGTATAGATAATATAATTCATGCATTTGTAGCAAAGAAGCGACCATGAGCACCTTAACTCAGAATTCCTCAAAAAATATTATAGAGCCTAACAAGCGTGGAATCAAAGACACTTTGCTACTTTATCTAATGTGATAGGATTTGTAGATTTAGAAAAAGCTTCACACAATGTTAAATAGAACAAAATGTTAAATATTTTAGTTAAATTAGTATGCTTAGATTTGCAAATGATAAAGCAGTATTAGCATATAGCAAGAAGGAGTTGGAGATTGCTTTAAATAAAATGGAAGCGGTATTGAGAAAACATTTTTCAATGAAAATAAATAAAAGTAAAACAAAAATACTGGTATGCAAGGGAAGAAAAAGTAGGGAAAGAGCGAATATAAAAATAGGAGACAAAAAATTAGAAGAAGTGGCTGATTTTAGATATTTAGGAAGTCAGATAAGTCAGGACGAAAGGAATAGTAGATGTATAAAGCAAAGGATAGGGATAGCTCACGTTAGAGTCGCCATAAATAAAAAGAAGTCACCTCTATGCTCCCGAACATTTAATTTAGAAATTCGGAAAATGCTGTTAAAAGTGTATATTTGGAGCTCGGAGCTGTACGGGTGCGAAACATGGACGGTGGCCGCGATTGAAAAGAAAAGGTTAGAAACGTTTGAAATGTGGTGTTACCGGCGAATAATGAGGATACTGTGGATAGAGAAGGTTAGAAATGAAGAGTTATTAGAAAGAATAGGAGAACAGAACAGAACCTTATCAGGCATGAAGATCTAGTCAGAGACATATTAGATGCAGAAACAGGAGTTAAGATTACTGTTTGCAACTAGTTAAGGATGTAGGTTTTTTCTAGTTTTAGCGAAATGCGAAGATTAGCTCAGGATAGGAAAGAGTGGAGGTACGTGTCCAACCAGTCTTAGGACTGACGACCTTGATGATGATGATCTAATGTGAATACAGGAATTAACCAACTTTCCAAATAATACAGTTAGAAAATACCAAATATGTATCAGAGTTTTATAGCAACGGCGCGACGAAATGACGAAATGTCGATTTTTTAAGACCAATGGATATTCGATTCTATAAGCGATGCTTTAGCGTGTTTATGATATACGTTGGTCTAATATAAATAGTATGCTGTTCTGTATTATTAATAAAGAGTATTGTTTAGTTGTAGACATTTTACATTATATTTAATACCAAGATAAAACGCCTTTAAGCGTACATTTAAATCAATGTTATATTTACGTAAATGGCAAATGCGTATTAAGTAGAAATGCCTAAAGTAATTGGCTCAGAATGATATTACGTGAACACGTACACACTGATGTGAAGGTATACTA